GAAGTTCGTCAGCTGTCCGCAACCATCAAAAAATTCTGCCAGAGAAGAGAGCAGAGGGTGTGTGATCGAGTGGTGGGAGTTGGAATGACAAAATAATGACTATAGTCACTACCAGAGGTACGTACGCATCTCGAACTTTTAGAAAAAGAACTTTTTCACGACCCTAATTGGCTCTTTTCCTTATTCATCTTTCCAAATACGACCAACGACCACGATCTACTTATGGGAATGGAAGTCCGGCTCGTTTCGTGGAGCTGGCGAAAATGACTGCATGACAAACCAAAAGTTCCAGCCTGTGGACTATGCAATGAGCTCTGAGCATTTGCAATATCACTAGTCATTAACAATTGAAGGAAAGTTGTCAATTTCGTCACATGACTGGCTTACTAATGACACAGAAGGACGACACATTGCGCAGCAGACTCGCAGAAGATGACCTATTCTCTTTGGAGGATATGGCTTCCAAGCCATCCTCGGCAACATCACTTTTCAGTGCTGATTATGAGTTCACTGATGATGAAGGCAAATCCTTTAGTAACCATGCATCCCTGTACGTCGATATGGAAAACGAGAAACAGGCGACAAAGAAACAACAGGACGCACCGAGTGGCGCTTTGGAGGCACTGCTTTCTCCTACCCCACGGAAAAGGTCACTGAAGCTGAAAACAGGAAAGCGATCCTCCGATTTGGATGCACTCCTTTCTCCGGCGGCATCAGGAAAGAAGAAAACGACAAACCGATCTGCCACTTTAGATGCACTCCTTTCTCCCCCTCCAGCTCAAAAGAAGAAGGCTGTGAAACGAGCCAAAAACAGCAAATCAGCAGGTTCCACTGCTGAAACCTTGGACAATAAATCAAAAAAGAAGAAAGTCTCTTCTCAGCCGTCCCCCGGTGGTAGTCGAAAACTGCCCAGTATCAAGCGTTTGGAAATCGATGAAAACGAATATGAAACAGACACATGCGATGAAGACGATTACGAAACAGACACATGTGATGAATACGAAACAGACACAGACGACGAAGATTTTCAATTTCTGTCCGAGAGCAAAGCGAAACCATTGTCAAAAAAGGATTTGGTAGACAGAGCTTTGTCCATGGAACGCACTTCTATGAGACGAAGCTTGTCTAAGAAGAAGAGAGACACGTTGTCCCTTTCTAACCACAGCAGAAAGGGAAGAAAAGACGAGGTTGCCTCACAGAGTCCGCGGTCTCCAAGGAATCGAAGTCTTTCCAATAAGAGGACAGTGATGATGGATGCGTTGTCTCTCTCTAGTAGAACAACAACAACAGAAGCAGTGCGACGAACTCGTAAGGGTTCGAAAAGGGAAAATTTTTTGGGGGGTTCTGCTTCCAATCTTGATTATGCACCCACACCCAAACGCGCTACTTCTCTCAGGAGTTTATCAATCGTTAGGGGTGCGGAACAGCCACCCAACCATGGGAAAAGATCATCATCCGCATCCAAAATCAAGAGAAAGAACTTTGATCGCTCCGGTCACTCCACATCAGGCGATGACGATTTGAGTCAAGTGTCAGCCCCAGTTACCCCAGTGAGACGAAAGAAGAAAGGGAGCTTGGACTCCTGTTCCACCAGTTCCGAGACATCCTTATTCTCTGTGACAAGCCAGCCCACTCCTAGAAGATCATTATCTACTGGCACTAGGAGAAAGAAGAAGGAAGTCTTGGATCAATCTGGTCATTCCGTGGCCTCGGAAAATATTATACGACGCAGCTCTCCAAAGTCAAAACCGTCTGATCCGCAGTTGGATTCGCTCTTGTCTCCAGGATCCACGAAAGAGAGAAGAAAGCTCAAGAAGTTTCTTGATGCTGAAGACGAGTTGGTCCAGCCCGGATCTTTCCGAAGCTTACCAGCGGGTTCAGATCATCACGCAAGACGGAGATCCATGAAAAAGGCCATCAAGAACGGCGTTGCAAGTCCAAGTCCAAAGCAAAAGAGCAGGTCCAGCAGTTTGAGAGTGAAAGGTGACGACATGGCGGATGTCGTCAGCAAGAAAATGAGAAATATGAGTCTATCGTCTTCCGAACATGGGGGACCCAAAAGGTCTTCAAAAGCTGGAAAAGTTAAGGCGGTGAGAAAAATGAGACGATATTCCACTGCCATGTGAGAATGCGTGCATCTTTTTAGCATCGGCGTAAAATAATCGGTTTTCAATTTTCATGCACTATATCGGAGGCAATCAAGCACCACAAGGGCGGGGACAGAATAGGTAACAGGTACCTTTTACTATCGCCACTTCTGAATCACACTTTTGAGGTGGGATTATACGGCGTGAAAGAGGATAGTGCTACCATAGGTACTTTCTTTTCATCACTTTAAACTTCTGAATCACACTTTTTCCATCAATGGGACACATGTGCCCCGCCAACGGAAACGGGTCCATATATAAAACTGTTTAATGCTCAAACGTAGTACATAGGTGATCGTATTGATATTATCGGGATCCATAGTATTCGAAGAAGCAATATATATAATAAATGTTCATGTGGCGCGGCGGAAGTTTTGAGGTTTCTGTTCGAAGTATGGTACAATAATTTTTTTGCCGTGTCAAATGTATCTTCATCCACCAGCAACTTGCAGAAACCATTCATTATTGAGTGCCAACCATTTCGTACGGTAGAATACCAATAACATGCTAAAGTTGCAACGAAAGGTAATGTCAAACGGTGGATCACCGACGCAGAAACGAATGAGAAACATATCTAGAGATTCATCGACAGAAGAATCGTCATCCTTCAGTTTCAGCAGAGACGATAATGATTTTGCAGACTTTGTGAACAACTCACCGCAACATCATGTTGTTCAAGAGCCTGCGGATTCAATTTTCACGGATGATCAAGTTGTGATGCCAAGAGACGCTCTCCACACCAGTGTTGGTGGTTTGGGAAGATTCAGCATGGCCTCGGGTCTTTCCAAAAAGAAGAAAACGAAGAAAAATAAAAAAGAGTCTCAGGAAATGGGAAAGGGGATATCAAAACCAAGGAAATCTTTCATAAAGGCTACATCAGGCAAAACGAAAAAAAAACAGCCTGTTGAGGATTCACGAGAATCTCCATTTTGGAGTCTAATGGAAACACGGCAACAGCTAGTGTCCACCGATACCGGTGGTATCATGCCAAATTCACAGACAGGCAATTCTGAGGATTCAGATGGCTTTGGAGAAGTCATCATCGGAGACGGCCAGTCCTTTGTCTCCAGTGATGGTTTTAAGCTGCCCTCGAAAGCTAGTATGGAGGCGGAAGACAGAGGTTTGACATCACCTTCAGATGGGCGGAGAAGGAAACCACGAACCAAAGTCAGCACAGCCACTGGGACCATATTATTGACACCCTCGAAAGCCAGCCTGGAAAGAACTGAAAGTATCAAGAGCAAGAAAAGCTGTAAGAAGAAGCGTCGCCCAAAGAAATCGAATGATTTGCAATCTCCCACCGAAAAGGGGCTGGATAGTTCCCAAAGGGAGAATTCTTCGGATGAGTTTAGTCAATCCATGTCTTCGCCGTCTCAACAATCAAAGAGCAGCCGAAAGGCAAAGAGCAAAAATACTGCATCGTCAAAGAGCAGTAGAAAGTCCAAATCGGTATCACCGAAGCCTGCTGCGAGGACTATCACTTCTTTGTCGCCGGCCATCGAAGGGAAACCATCATCTTTCAGTGGTCTGCACCAGAATTCGTTTGAAGATGGTGAAGAAGCAGAGAACAACAAGTCCAAAATGAAACAGCCTTCAAAGGCAAGCCTTGAGAGCATGTTGGAACGAGTGAGCATCAGAAAGAGGACTCGGAAGAGTTCCGCCTCCTCCGTTGGTTCTGTTAGAAGGGCGGGCAAGCGACCACAGGCAGAAGGAGTCTCCTCCGGTGATTCTGTTGTATCCCTTGACACGGGAACGAACAAGTCAAATCAAATTCAGCCGACGAGACACGACAGTTTGAGCGGCGAAAACAGTGCAGCATTGTCGTTTGGATCCAGGAAGCATCATAGTCGACCAACCCCCAAAGCACTACCAAGGCGAGTTGTTTCGTATCAGTCCAACCCAGGGGGACCAGTCAACCAATCGCCTGCATCTGCTGAGGGTGGATCAACGCAGCGTTCAAAGGCAAGCCTACAGCAAATGCTCGAAAAACGAGCCGGTGTAAAGAGTCGAACGAGTTCAGCATCATCGGTTGGTTCCAGAAGAAAGGAACAATCCAACCCTGCATCCAATCCCTCTAATCCGAATCTCACCAGTCCGAAGTCTATTTTGAAAGTGAAACGCCGAAATAGTTTTGGAAATGAAACTCCAGAACACACAGAGCCTCGTTTCATTCATGAACGACGAGCATCATTCTCCTCTGGAAACTCGAAGCATCCTTCGGCCCATATGCTGGCTTCCCCCGCGAGGAATTCCAATGAAGAAAGAACCCCTGCTTCCCAACAGCGAACGCGACGAGGATTGAAGTGTTCGTCCCTGCACATAAAAAAGAGCAAGGCCTCCTCCCCAACGAAAGGAAGGAAGCCACGAAGCAGATCCCTTTCCCCACGGGCAAAAGGAAAGCAATCATCCATAGCCAAGGTAGACTTGGCCTATGATCCATGGGACAATATTGATGAAGCCTTTATGCCCATTACATCTGCCAAACACGAAGAACACGCGAAAACGAAGGCGGCCATGGAAGAAACGCAACGACCAGTGCTACCAGGAAAGAAAGAAAAAGCGCAAACAACGCCCGATGACATGTGGGCATCACTGGCTTTTGTGGATACCAGCAACGATCGTACCTCATCCCCAAAGCAACGTCAACAAGAACAACGCCAACAACAATTAAAAGCTACAGAAGCCCTCGATGCCTGGTGGAACGTGGATGAAGACGACGATCAGTCCCTTGCCAAAGCCACAAGGAAGAAAAAGCTCGCTCAAAAGAGCATGTTGTTGGTGTCAGCCAGCAAGATACCACCAAGTATGAAGAGTGACTCGTCTGGTTCGCCAGTACTCAAATCGCCACCCACAACAACAGCTCCCAAAACGTCTATGCATACTTCCATGCCAATACCATCTTTGGACAATGTGCCATCAACATTGCAAAGCCCATCCTCAAAACAACAACGGCAATCGGAGCCAACACTGCCAGCTTCCCCGGCTCATAAGAATAGTAGTAGTTCACCACCAACAACCAAGCAACGGCAGTCTGAACCGAAACGTGTGGTGGAAGTTGTCAATGCCTGGTGGGCCGAGGATGCTGAAAAGGACAAGGAATCCGTCGCCAAAGAGACCAAGAAGAAGCAACTCGCACGAAAGAGTGTGCTGATTTTTGGCTCTAGCAGCATGAACGGGAGCAAGTCGTTTGACTATTCGGACGACGCGGAATAAAGCTAAACGATATATTGATGCTACGAAGTAATACCGGTAGTAGTATGACCTTTTTTAAAATACCTGTTACTACATTACACCTGTTGCTCGTGATGAGTGACATTGCGAAATTTCGTTTCAGTCTGTCCTTTCGATCGAAGTCTGAAAGCACCCGGAGTTACGATGGAAGCCCACGGTCAATCCGCCAACCCATCTTTTAGTACCATCATCAGGATTTTGTTTGATAACAATCTCTCAACCATCCTCAACCATCGTACAACCCATTGGCGATTGCAAAGCACAAGTTTTATTGCTGAAACATCACATATTATTCAATAGGCCTACATTGGATATATCAGCTCTGCTTCTTATCATATTCCACGCATAAGAAAAGCACAAACAAATTCAAATCATTTGCATCAAATCAGAATCAATGTTCAGACAATAAAACCAAGACTTGAAAGCACAACAAACACACAGCACGTTCAAGAAGAAAGAAAATACCACATACACAAGAACACAACACAAGAACACAACACACACACGTACAATGGATTCGACATATCTGGATCCCATAACACCCAACACAATTGAATATGACTTTGAAGACTATGCCCTGAAACATGGTATTCCGGAAACCTTGGATCCTTTGCCCTACCGCAAAGCTGGTTCCGTCTTTGCGACAGGTGAAGAAGCCGAACCCGTATTGACGAGTGCCAAGCATGATCCCCGTCTTCGAACAGTGGTATGCCGTCACTGGCTGCGAGATCTGTGCATGAAGGGAAGTGCTTGCGAATTCTTGCACCAATATGATTTGAGTAAAATGCCACTGTGCCGGCATGGGGATCGCTGCAAAATTAAGGATTGTCCCTTTCGGCACATTAGTGAAGCCAATCGGCTAGAATGCGTCTTTTACAGTCAAGGCTTTTGTATTCATGGACCATTTTGTCGATACAAGCACGTTCGGAGAGATCGATTGGACCTTCCTGCGGTTGCGGATTTCACCTTGGGATTGAGTCAGATGCAAGCTGCTGGGAAAGATGGAGTGACCCCGCGAAGGCCAGCTCCCAAACCCAATGAATTTTACAAGATTAGTCTATGTAAGCATTTTATGCAAGGAGAATGTCCCTTTGGAGAGGGATGTCACTTTGCCCATGGCGAACACGAATTGCGTACCTTTCCGAAAGGGGGGCAAAAGCCAGGCGAAGAGATCGAGGAGAAGGAGTTGTCGGATAACATGTTTGCCAATCAGGATACATCCACTGTTGATTACTTTCAAGGTGGTGCCAGTGGAGGAGGTAAACCAAATCCAATTGTGGAACCAGAACAAGCCCACTTTTTCATTTTGCTGGCTGCAACGCAAGATGATTTGGCCTATTCCACGGTCGAAAAGGAATGGTACGTAGAGCCAAAGCATGCCAAGCTCTTGAATCAAGCCTATCTTGACAAGCAAAACAGGGTATTTCGTCAAGTCATGCTCTTCTTTACCGTGTCGGCGTCGCGACACATTCAAGGGGCTGCTCTCATGACCAAAAAGGCTACCTTGGTGGACAAGACATCCAAATTCCCGTATGTCATTGGATTGGAATGGTATCGTACTACTGAATTTCCTATCGAGACTGCTTTGGAAGCGGCTCCCGATTTGCTGCTTCCGACCCAGAGCACGCAACTCTGTCAAGATATGAAGTGGAAGACTGGCGAGTCCCTCATGAAGGCCTTGTGGAATTCACCTCTAGTGACTCTGTACGAAAATTGGGCAGACGGCGACGACGAGGATGATGAAAACAACGAGCCCGTTCTGCCTCCTCCGGCACCCGACAAGCTTTTGGAAGACTTTCGTTGTCCACCACCATCGCAAAATGGTGCCGCATGGCCGTGCATGCCGGGGCCAGGATTCATCTTTGGTTGTTCTGCGGATACCATGGACGAATGTCTCGGACGTGGGCTGTTTGGATTACCGGCGCACATGAAGGCAGCGGCTTCTCACATTGTACCCGGATCTACCATCTTTCTCTTCAATGTGACGGATCGTCTCTTATTTGGAATCTTTGAAGCCTTGACGACGGCACAGCTCAATTTGGTCCCCACTGCCTTTTCCAAGAACCCAAAGGCTACTTCGAGTCCCTTTCCCGTTCAGATTCGAATCCGTGTGGGTCTTGAATGTCCTCCATTGGAAGATACGGATCCCATGTTGAACGACGTTCTTCGAAATCGTGGCGGTGGAAGGATTGGTCCCCTGACCTTTGCTCAGACACAGGCCATTGCTACCATGCTGGCGCAACAATGCGGTGCCTTGGACTATATGTTGGATTACCAATCGGGGGACATTTTGGATCCTCCTCCCATTGCCCTGCCGCCAAAGAAGATCAAGTCCAAACCAATCGATGGCATGGACGTGGATATGAAATAAATAAAATAATATTATATTACAGTATAAGTATAGTATAGTATTTTGAAACTAGGACGAACCACTTGGCTTTATAGTTTTGCACCTACGTTTTCGTGGCTTGCCTTTTTTCCTTTGCCCTATACCAGTACAGCGCAGTATGCGGAAAAGTAAGAACCAATCGTGGAAATACTACTTTAAAAGTCCCCGTCCTCCATACCTCAAAACAGAAAGATCGTATGGAAACATACGTATTACTTAGTATTAAAATAATGTACATGAATTTTACTTTACATGGAATGCGCATGTTTTTGCCATTTTGATACATATGACTTGCGCATACTGTAATGCTATTTTGTAGGATGGGGGTTCTTGTTGTTGGCTTCTGTTCTGCCTGTCTACCTTTTTTTCTTCCCTTAAATTAAATGAGGTATTCGGTAGTATCTTGAAGGATATCCCCATGAATGCCATAACGGGCATCATCGGTAGGTACATCAACTACTTTCATGTCCATTGGTTTCGTTCGTAGCTGTTGCTGTTGTTGAGATTCGTGGGCAGTATGAATGGAAGAAGATTCATCCGCTTGCGCCAGTGTTTGCAAACAACCAAAGCACAAGACGAGTGCAATTAAGGTACATGGTCGTGGAGTCATTGTTGATATCGAATATGGTGTGTAGCTTCGTAGGTTTTGTGTTTGTTTTGGGGCAGAAACAACAATGCTTCTGCTCTTTTGATGTTGATGATGGTGGTGATGATGTGATACTTATTTTTTTGTGACAGGTGGAAGAAAATTTGGTTCGGATCTTGACACATGTTTGAATTCTTTGATTCGATAAACCAATCAGAATGGATATTTGGTGGCGCGATGATAGGTAAAGTGGAGAAGAGGAGGCAAATCCAGAACCAAAACAGGTTTTTTCAGATTTGTGGTGATCTCGCAAAATCTCTATCAATATTTATCTATATTTACGCAGAGGATGTCATTGCCATCACGGTTATTACTCTCATTCATTCTCGTGTTGTCAACAGTATGTCGTCGTCATTATAGTCAAGCTCTTGACAATGGCTTGGCAGTATCCACACCCCCCATGGGATTGTCCACATGGTCCGTCTTTCGTGCCGAAATCAATCATACGTTGATCGTGGAGTTGGCCGACTCGATGGTGGACTTGCAATTATTGGAGAAAGGGTATACCTACTTCTTAATGGATGCGGGATGGACTGCCGAGAAACCAAACTGTCCCAGTTGTCTGTCGCATCGCAACGAAACGGGGCATTTGTATGTGGATCCGACCAAGTTTCCGAATCTCAAAGACACGGTGGACTACGTCCATCAAAAGGGACTCTTGTTTGGGATTTGGTATGGCTTTGAAATGTGCGACGATGCCACTTTTGCCAAAAGTACCACCAATGACGATTATGCGCATCATTATGCCACTTTGGATGCCAATTTCTTTGCCTCCATTGGTGCAGATGCCCTCAAGCATGACATTTGCGATGCCGTGGTGCCCAATACCACCCAAGGGCGCCAGCACAATTTTGAGAAATTCCAAGCCTTTGGAGATGCCCTGAATGCTACCGGACGCCCCATGTTGTACGATGTCTCGTTGATTGTTAGCAAAGCTAGAGAAACACCAGCCTACGACTATAATTATGTGTACAGTCCCGAACCTTACGGACAAGAATTGGTACGATCCATTTCCAACATGTGGTGGAGCGTACCGGTCAACAAGTACAATTGCTGGAAGTGTTGCGTCCATCCACAAGAATTCATTGTGGACGACGAAGAAGCATGTAACGATCCAACGAAACTTCCAGCTTGGAGAGGACTCTTGCCCATACTGGACATTCAAGATATGAAAACACCGGGATGGATGGGACATTGGGATTGGGCGGGAAAGGCAAAAGGATGGAATCATTTGGATCAACTGAGTAGTTGCATGGGTAAATCGTGGTATGGACCTGGATTGACACCATCCGAACAAGTAGCTCAAATCAGTCTGTGGGCAATCATGGCATCCCCATTGATTATACCTCCCGACATTCGCAAGATACAAATTGGGGAATTTTGTCATTTTCTCATTGCAAATCCCAAAATGATTTCAGTGCATCAAGATTTGTTGGGGATTCCAGGACGGCCAGTCAAGAGTTTTTACAAAGACGACGACGGCACCAGCAAGGAAATCATCATTGGTCAATTGTGGGTTCGACCCTTGACCGGGGGTGCCGTGGCGGTCGTCTTTTTCAATCGACAAGAGCAACCATTACGGATGGAGGCCACCTGGCAAGAACTTGGATTGCTGTCTAGTAGTAGTAATAGCACCACAACAGCAACAACAGCAACAACAGCAACAACAACAACAGTCGTTCAGGGCATGAATGTATGGACGGATGAAATTCGACAAAATATTTCATCGCCCATGATGATGGTATCAGTACCGCCACATGCAGTCTCCTTTTGGATTCTGACTCCCAAGAATACTAAGGAGATAACGAAGAACGATAGTAGTAGAATAATAAGAGGCAGCAGTCAGTCAAGGATGAAGAATATTGAGGGTGGTACCGGTACGGCTGGGATCGTCAGTCGATAGGCATATGTATTAAAATTATTAATGTACTGTACCCTATTTTTGAAGATATAGCACAATGGTAACTATTTTAATACAATATGGATAACATCGAAAAAGTTGATATACCGGTTTAGTAGGCTATTTTTAATGGCGATCTTCCGACAGGTACCAGTGTACCATACCAGGTACGAACCAGGTATGAATACCAGGTAACAGGTACCGGTACCAGGAACCAGGTGCCGCGGTACACCCTGGTGGTACCAGGGAACTGGGGTCGCTCATGACAAACTTGACTCCTTTGTGATTCAATAATTCTCTGATTCTCCATATGCTACCGGAATTTCGTTCCGTGTTGACGTCATCCAGATGAGTTTTTTATAGTGATAGTTCCTTTCGCCTCGAATTCCTTCGTCGGCATTTTTCCACGTTCAAACCACGAGACGGAACACGTTTGCACATTTTGAATTTGATTGTTGTTGTTGTTGGTTTGCTACTCGAACCGAACCGCACAGTCACCACCCTGCCGTCTGTTTTCATTCAATTCAATTCAATTCATTGCACAATCCACAATTGTAAATCATGGCGCTTCGACTAGGAACAGCATCGACATCGACATCGACATCGACATCAACATCATCCTCCACCTCCTCCTCCACTCCGTCCACCTTTCGACCATTCTTTGACCGATTGGTGGAAGATGGACGGATTACCATGGGCCAAAAGACGGATGCCGTCAAAACGTTGAGTCTTGTATTGAAGAATGCCGTGATCGACCCTTTGAAATCCAAAGACCCCAAATATCGTCAATTGAAATTGCATAATGTCAAATTGCAACAACGGCTCTTTTCGATTCCAGTCGTGATGGACATTTTGACTACGGTGGGCTTTCAACAGCAAACGGTGGATGGTGAAGCATGTTTGGTGCTGCCTTTGGAGAAAGACGCTAGTACTCTCGGACAGGAATGCGTGGCGGAACTTGCCATGACGCAACAACGACTTGCGTTCATTGCGGGCGACACGAGCAATGCCAAGCCGGTCGTTCCCGAAAAATTGTCGGAAAAACAAAAGGCCCGCAAGCTCCTAGAAGAAAAGGAAAAGTTGGAGAAAACAAAGGCCAAGGAAAACCGCAAACGAAACTTGGCTCTGTTGAAAGCAGACAAGCACACACGCGAAAATGATCCCAATTGGAAGCCAGGGGTCAGTGCAGCCTGTGCCAAATCGGGGACTGGAATTTCTACCTTTCGGGATAAATATGGTGAAGGTGAATAAGAAAATGCAGTTTGTATTGTACTCGTATTTTTTATCTATCATCTAGACTGTAAAAAATTGCAACTGCATTCAATAATATTATATATATACAGTACATGTATTATTATAATAGCAATAGGGTAGGAGATACAGACGACGCAATTGCAGCAGTGGATCGATCTCGCTGTTGTTGTATTGAAGTCTAAATAATAATAATACCGGTAATACAGTACAGTACAGTACCGATCCATGCGAATAAGCTCCAAGCAAGGCAAAATGGCAATCACACACATTTGACCAACTTGATCCGAGAAATGTGGGAACCAAGAAGATCAATGCAGTTGACCAACTTGATTCAAAAAGTGTGTTTAACATACAGTGTACATGGTACTGTAGTACCAGCTACACGTGTACCAGTACCTGGTACTGTTTTACCAGATTACTATTCAAATATTACCGTTTAATACCAATTGTGCCCGCGACGGGTACGTGCAAGGATGGTACGTGTACAGTGTACGTACACGTAGGGTTGACCTGCCAGCGGGTGTCACCATTTTGAGGGGAACATTTTTATTCGAATGGTGACGAACATTCATTCTTGTTCCGAAACCGTCTCATCTTGGAACACCCTTTTGTTTCCGAAATTCTCGTTTCGGCATGAAATGCTACGCCGCCACTACCTGATTCTCGAAATGCGGGATCCTTAAATCAATGACTTTAACAATCGGGTTCCTAAACTACTGCGTTTACAGAAAGGCGGATTCATTCTCTCTTTCACTGGAAAAAGGTCGGCTCGGTCGCTTCGCTGCTTCAGAGAGAACCATGTGGGACGGCGTTAAAAGTGCTTTTGAGCTGGAGTGTTTTAAATATAACAACAATCGTTCACGTTTCATTAAACAATATTTGAAACGATTTCTACTGTATCTTGTCGAGTAAAAAGAGAAAATCAAGACGCTTCTTGACGCAACCTCTGGTCGGGAGCCCTTGGACCTGTGTGGAACCTTTTGAGAAACGATAGGTATTGATTGCATTTGTTCGCTTCGCAGTTTCACTCACAAAAAAAGAAAGCATCCGCAAACACAAATACATACTACTACTTTCTAATATACAAAACAGGCACAATGAACAATCAATCTTCCTCAGCCTCTTGCTCCTCCTCGACCAGCGACAGCACCAGCAGAATTAACAATCAGGCTTCGTCGTCGCTTCCAGCACAATCATCATTGAGACCGCTCCGAGCAGGCATCCGCAGATCATTATTGCCAAGCCGCCCACCAATGCTCGCACCTCGTTCCCTTGAGGCTCTCGGCCTCCGATCATCCAACAGCAGTCTACATCCTGATCGTCCTGTCCGCAGCAATCAAAGGGATATCCTGAACGCTGCCTTGGCTGTGATTCATGCCGATGATGACTTTTTGGCGCAATTGTCGTCATCCTCAAACCCCAGAAACAAAAAGAGAAAATTGCAAAGAGGGGGGCCTCCTCGGCAATAAGTTGATGATGCTCAGCTACAGTATCATGAACACAAAGATTAGACGGCTATTTTTGAACCATTGTATTTTTATATTATTATTTTAGAATTTCCCCTTTACTGTACGAAACTGGTACACGAGCACTATTGGAAGATGGTGGTGACTTCTGATTGAAAAATCAAATCGCATGGAGCGACCAAGTTGTGTGAGAGGAGAAGCTTCAATATTTTATATTATAAAAGTGTGTCAAGAGAGGCTCCCACAGTTCTCATGTGAAGAATCAATTGAGCGAACCTTCTCACTCCTCTGCTTTCAGGCTCAAAGGAGCATCAGTTGAAACTACAGTAACGACCCAAGAACTCACTGCAAAGCGATCGATACTAGTACCTGCACCTAGTACGGTACCGGTCGTACTTCTACCGGTATTCTTGTTTGAAGGACATGAACAATCAGGAAGCTATATAAGCAGCAGGAGATCGACCACCACCCAGCCAACAACAAGAACCGGCAGAAGACGGCATTCTTGTGAGCTATCCTAGCGCATAGTAGCAGCATCCCCCTCTTAAGCCATCCAAAGACAATACAACCGAGTGGTCGAATTGGTAATTTGGACCAGGACGTCAGAGCATATACGATGGTCTAGACTAGCACAATGAAAAAGCTCAATATCGCGAAAGGGTGGTGATTGCTTTTATTTAACTAGGACTCAAGATCTTTACGCGGTTTGAGCCAGTTACGGTAAGTGACACCAGCAATTGGATAGTACTGTAGGTTTAGTTGCAGTTGCTCGATGGAAACACGAATCAATCAATCAATCATCTGGTATAGTAGTTCTGGTACCAGTAGAAGTAGCGCCATTGTCTTATATCCCTCCACTACCTATAGCATCCCTTTTGTCCTTTCTCCCAGACGGTCCTTGCCCTCCATACCACCAGGACCAAGTATGAAGAAGAGGGCAGTCATTGGAGCTTCCATTGACGCCACTGAAAGCTTTTTGGTTTTTAAAAAACACAAAATCCGCCAGAGAAGGTACAGTAGATTTTAGTGCGTTGGAAACCGTCTCATTCTTTGTTATATGAAGATACAAATTACGGAAAGACCTCCCATTTATATGATTTGGTATTGTCGAGAAAAATAAATAAGTAAGAAGATTGATTCTGGTTATAAATATATATATATGTGAAGTCCGGCAGTTGTTGTGTTATATATATGTGCGACTTCAACTTCTCTTTACCCCCGCATATAAAAAAGAACAAATTGTCAGAAGTTGTCGAACAGCTAAAGCAGGACCCTCCGCAACTCGTCCGTCCTTCGTCGTTTTAAGGGGGATTTTGCGTATTGAATTTACGGGGAGCGAATACATCATTCTTTAGGGGGAGTTGTTTAAAAGGGGGCATTACAGTTTTCCGAAAAATATTTTGTCGTGTTTCAAATTGATTTGTCGTGTTTCATTCGAGTTTGTCGTCTTTCGAATTGGTTTGTCGTCTTTCGAAATTTCTTGTCGTCTTTCGAAAAATCTTGTCGTCTTTCGAAAAATCTTGTCGTCTTTCAAAAAATCTTGTCGTCTTTCGAAATTTCTTGTCGTCTTTCAAAAAATCTTGTCGTCTTTCGAAAAATCTTGTCGTCTTTGTTTCAGCTTGAAGTTGTCGGATGGAAATACATATGCAGCATTCTCGCCTATCTCTCATGATCTTATCATCGGACGAAGATCCGCCCATGAACCACATCCTCACTCCATCGGAGATGACGAATATCACGGCCTTTCTCCATTGGGGATACGTGTGGAAGGGAATCAAATGTGCGAAGGGGAAAGGCGAATGTCTTCCACTTCAAGCACCATTTTGGAGTCTCTCCTTGCCGTGCAGTTTGGATCTAGACCGACCTGCAACTAAGCAACATTGCAGACACCAAGATCAACGAAGGAGACGAAGATCTTAAGTACTTCTTAATGGGGCTTTACTGTCTTCGAAAAGTAGTTTTTTGGTCAACGATCAAAACATGGGAAACGATCAAAAAGATTCAAGACGTGATTTTGTAAGGGAAGAAACTAGTCAGAAAGGTATGAGTTGGGTGCTGTCGACGGATGGTAGTCACCGTTGGATCGATCAATGAGCCTTCTCATTCGGACTGCAGTCAAGATCCCCGATACTACCTTCACAGATACAATAATAAGCCACGGGTTTGGAATTTCGGTAGTGGACAATCGGCAATTGTGGATGCGTGGTCCCATTCCATTCAAGAGCAGTCTTCACCACTCCATAATATTCTGACTGAAGATGCTGTAGATAGATGTAAAGACAATAAACAAGAGTTCTAGACCAGCAAAAGACCAGCGTATTATACATATATCCTACCATCCCTGCTACTTCACTGCAACATGTGATACAAATCTCAACAGATAGATATAAAATGTTCTTTGAAAAGCATTTCTTTCAAAATTCTGCTCGATCATGCATTTCCTTTGACATGTCATCTAAACTGATTGTGACACTCGTCGAACCAGTTGAGGCGTCAGTAGCCCGATTATAGTTGGAGACAACCGTATCTGGGTTGTAGTAGAACTCAAACTTGAGAACGGGAAGCTTGGCAATAAGAATATTGCGAGAAGTCGGATCATGGAGCTTGATAATAATCCAAATCCTGTTTATTGTTGGATTCGAGTTTAGTAACAATTGTCGTCACATCTCCAAATGGAATCCTTTGTGCCTTTCAATGATGCCACTTGATATTAGGCTCCTTCCCGCCTGGAGCCAATGTTTCACCGGGTCCTCCAAAAAAGGCATGTTGTCGCCTTCCTTCATGACCTTGACGTAGCGATAGTTCTCGCACATGAGCGTATTTTCCTGTTTTTTCTGCCGTCCGTCGCTTCTACTTTGGACCATGAACAGGTTTAGACGGGCGTGATGAATTTTGTTGTCGTCGTCTTTTGAATTGATTTGTCGTCTTTCGAAATTGATTTGTCGTCTTTCGAATTGATTTGTCGTGTTTCATTCGAGTTTGTCGTGTTTCATTCAAGTTTGTCGTGTTTCAAATTGATTTGTCGTGTTTCATTCGAGTTTGTCGTCTTTCGAATTGGTTTGTCGTCTTTCAAATTCTGTTGTCGCGTTTCGGAATCTGTTGTCGTGTTTCGAACTGGTTTGTCGTGTTTCGATTCGACCCAAAAGTAGAACTTGGGGCCCCTAAATTTGACTGCAAAACATAATGGGGGAAGACTAGAGAAAAGTGCTTCCCCCCGTTTAAATTGGACGACTGACAGACGAGTTGCTGAGGGTCCAGTCAAACTGAGCAGGAATGCAATCAGTCTTCTACCGTATCTGGCCCGAAACCCCTGCACGTACAGTTCAGTACAATTCGTTTTCGAAAAGTTACAGGCACAAGTTTAAAAAAGTACCGGTGCGAACCAGGTACGAGTACCGGTACAAGTACCGGAAGGTTTGGTACCGCTCCACAAATGGACTTCGTTACAGTTTCATTTTACACAAAAGAAAGCACCCTCAAACACAGATAATACCACTACCGGTACCACACAGAACAGGTATAATCATGAACAATCAATCATCCTCCTCCTCCTCTTGCTCATTTTCCGCCAGCGACAACACCAGCAGAATGAATCAGTCTTCGTCGCTTCCAGCACCACCTTTGAGGTCACTGCCAGCAGGCATCCGCAGACCATTATTGCCAAGCCGCCCACCAATATTTGCCGCTCGATCCCTTGGGGTTATCGGTGGCCTCCGCTCGTCCAGTCTGAATCCTGATCGCCGTGTCCGCAACCAGAGGGAAATCCTGAACGCTGCCTTGGCTGTGATTCATGCCGATGATGACTTTTTGGCGCAAGTGTCGTCATCGTCATCCTCAAACTCCAGCAACAAAAAGAGAAAATCGCAAAGAGGTGGGCCTCCTCGACAATAATTGGTTGATGATGTTCAAGGATGTGATGGCATACCGGTACATGTATAAAAGAGTCCACATCCAATTTAATATATTGTTTAACTACGAATCATTCCCGATCTCTATGTTTAGGCCAGCAGTTTCCGTGGTAGTGACATCCAAACGGACGGCCAGCAATTGGATAGTACTAGTTAGGCCTGTAGTAGCGTAGTTGCGGTATGGAACGAATCAAACAATCAATCAATCGATCATCTAGAAGTGGCGCCGTTGCAATGTGAATGGCTCCCGCACAATCTACACCCTAGCATTCCTCCTTTTCCCCAGCATGATGCTTGTTCCTCCAGAGTATCACTGGTACCAGGCAGGAACATCATCCAAGAAGAGAAGCAGCAATGCAGTTTTATTCAACAGTGCGAACCTCGCCTTTTATAGTGACATTGGCGGAAGTTTTCATTAAACTCCGATCCATCAATGGATGTACTGTATAGTAGTTTTCTCTATTTTCTACAGTAGTTTAGGTTTTCGAATGCGACAGCCCAAAAATGATGCGATGAAAAAGCTTCTTTCCTTTGGTCATATAATACAGTAGTCAGTATGACTCCTTATTACAGCCGTTTTGCCTTGGCTGCTTTGTTTCATGTGCGACTTGAAAATTTCTCTGCAGATTTGCAGTATTGTGCCGGTACCATTTTAAAATAAGTTCGCAAAGAAGGTTACTGCGATATATCGGAATGCCAACCTCTGCATGTACAAACGTACGTGTACACGTGTACGTGTACGTGCAATTACGTTTCTTTTGCAGGTGCTTCAGTAAGTCTGTACAGTACAGTAGTATTCTCTATTTTCTAGCCTAAAAATGATGCGATGAAAAAGCTTCCTTCCTTTGGTCATAGTCAGTATGACTCCTTGTTTTATGACAGCCGTTTTGCTTTGGTACGACAGCTGTTTTTTTTCATGTCGCAAAATTTCTCTGTAGATTTGCAGTGTTGATTGTACCGGCATTAAAAAAAGTTCGCACGAATATAATATCGGAATGTCATCCTCAGCATGTACAAACGTACACTACGTGTACGATTCATTCCTTTTCTTTTGCACCAGGTCCAGCTCAAAAATACCGGTAATAGACAGAAAATTGATTCCTTCGCAGCAGAAGTTCCTTTTACGCATCCGCAAATACATACTACTACTTTCTAATATACAAAACAGGCACAATGAACAATCAATCTTCCTCAGCCTCTTGCTCCTCCTCGACCAGCGACAGCACCAGCAGAATGAACAATCAGGCTTCGTCGTCGCTTCCAGCACAATCATCATTGAGACCGCTCCGAGCAGGCATCCGCAGGTCATTATTGCCAAGCCGCCCACCAATGCTCGCACCTCGTTCCCTTGAGGCTCTCGGCCTCCGATCATCCAACAGCAGTCTACATCCTGATCGTCCTGTCCGCAGCAATCAAAGGGATATCCTGAACGCTGCCTTGGCTGTGATTCATGCCGATGATGACTTTTTGGCACAATTGTCGTCATCGTCATCCTCAAACCCCAGAAACAAAAAGAGAAAATTGCAAAGAGGGGGGCCTCCTCGGCAATAAGTTGATGATGCTCAGCTACAGTATCATACACACAAAGATTAGAGAGTTATTTTTGAACCATTAGGACCTATGAAGACACTGTTATATTTGTAATGCGATCATTCTACCTTATTAGATAATAATAGATGGATAGCTGGTGTGCTTTACTTTGCTTTGCTGCTTCTTCATTCTGTTACTTACTGCGTATTTTGAAGCTTGTTCATCGACTACGTTGACCACCAGTTGCACTCAACCAGCCCTCCTCATCAATGCTCGCGTCCTTGGGTCACCATTGTTTTTTTGCTTGCGGTCTTGCGACATTTGACGGATCAATCGAACCTCGTCTCACTTTTCTTCTGGATTTTTCTTTTTAAGGCTCATTGAAGCCGTTGCCGCATTTGTTTTCTAAAAAGCAGCCTGCCCCCCCGCCGGCGGGGAGGCTCAGCAAGCCATCAATCGACAATCGAAAAGTTACTACTAGTACTATTAGCTGGAAACGCTTTTAGAGTATTAAGAAAGGGTGTGATTGCGTCCACACCTAATGTGAAAAAGTTTGTGTAACTATGAATCATTCAAGATCGCTAAAAAGTGACAAATGGTCGGCCAGCATCTGGATAGTAGTTGCTGGTGGATGGACGAGGAATGAATGAATTAATTAATGAATCATCTAGAAAAAATCAACCATTAGCTCGACGCTCACCTCTCAGAACTCCCTTTTGTCCTTTTACCCTGCGCGCTCCTTGTTCGGACCGCTGAAGCAGCAGGACAGAGAATTTTAGGACACCAACAATACAGTCGTGGATCAACGCCACCATTCAAAGCTCCCAGTGTCACCTTCGGAAGTTTGAACACCAAGATTTGACGAGTGAAGGTAGGATATTTATATTTTTGATCTTGTGGATGAAACCATTTCATTCTATTTTGTCGTTTCTAATAATGTGATCTCGAACATACAGGGACGTCAGTACTTCTTCCTTTTCGGTCATAGTGACGTGGTATTTTGGACATATGATATGACAGTCGGTTTTGTGATTTGCCAGTGCGACTTTTAAATCTTTCTTCTCCTCCGGCACAAAGTGTCAGTTGAGTTCAAACGAACCAGTTCGTCGCTAAGCAGGAATGCGAAAACCAATCACTTGCTTCTCACTAATTTCTAGGAACTACGGGAAACGTTTTTCATCTTTTGTCATTTTCAACAAACTGTTCAAGACACATACCAAAGACCAAAGCGTAGGACTACTATACAATGACAGTTTCTAATGCTCATCTTTCGTCCTCCTGCACAGCAAATGCTTTACTGCCTATGAATTTGCAACAGCAAGAACTAGAAGGTCTTGAACAAGCAAGCAACAACCGAATCCCCCTTCGAGTTCCCACACTGGAAGACTCTTTCTCACGAAGAAGGGGCTCGTCGGACCGAGAGAATTTGCTGTCAATCCTCAACGAAGTCATTGGAGTGATTCGTGTGGAGGACTTTGTTGAATCAGGAGGAAGCTTCCACGAAAGTGCTCAGAAGAAACAGTAACAGCAACAACGATGAAGTCACCGCACACACGAAATCAAGTTTCCAATTTCATCGTCATCAGCAATCTGACCATAGTCAGTTTTGCATACCATATTGTACATTATAATCCAAAGTTTGATATATACAATACTTTCTGCTGCTTCTTAAAAAAAGACCTTTAGCTAGACGAGCCGTTTGACGCTGTTACCGTCTTGGATCCTTCGGCCTCCTCCGAGCGCAATTCGGACAGGTTTGCCCGCAGTGCCAATCGAATTGTATACAGCTGATCCACCGACGTTGATATTTGATAGCTCCCCCGAAAGGGATTGCCCAAGTCATAGCAGACGATCGCCAGTGCGGAAAAGGTCCCGACCAACATGGTCCACAAGATTCGAAGCTGAATGGCATTCAGAAACATTAGAATGTCTTGATTGGATTCCAACAAAAAGGCAATGCAAATGCTGAATGCAAGGGCAGCCACGATCCCAAAATGCAAGGTGGGAAATGTGGATCGCAATGCGGCCACTCGTTTGGCTCGTTCATCGTACAATTTCGTACAGGATTGATAGGCCTTGTCCAAGACCAGGGGATTCGGCGTCACTTGTTTATTCGTTGCGTCTTGTGACATGACCACCAATCGATTCAGCGATCGTAGGATTCCATTCAGTTCCGTGTCCAAGGATCCCGTCAATGCATCACTTGGCATCGGTTGACTTTCGGCAATCACTCGACTGGTATATTGTGCAAGATACGCAAAACAGACCTGTTTTTCTTCTTTATTGTTCAGCACTTCTAGTAGAGACTGCAAGATTCGAAGTTGGCCCGCTTCCAAGTTAAGACTTGTCCGAATGTCCAGTTGTCGCTGCCGCAGGGTTGTAATGGTGGTACCAATCAGGTTGGCAAACAGAATGGAAACGGCTGAAACAATAATATACAAGGAGTGAAAGATATCGTTGTGAGTATTGGCCGTACTGTACGTACACATCGGAGAGCAAGAAGGTGCACACTACTAAATCACACAAGCCACAAAGTCCTACCTGGAAGAACAACCCCATTGATTGCAGGAGCAATAATCTTGGCCTGATATTGACCACCATCCACAGGCACAAAGTTGTTTTGAGCAATCGCATCAATGAGAAAGGCAAAGGCTTGTGCCGTTGGGTCGTACAAAAAGTAGGCAATGATTGGCATCATGGCCGGTACCCACTTGATACGATCCTCAATTCCCAATAGCATTTCCATATCCGGGCTTGTGAATCGCGAATCATCTCCAATCGAATCATCAAACCACTCAGATTGAAGAAGATCTTTGGTTTTCTTTTCTTTGGCTTCCAATGTACTTCGGGATACATATAAAGCAGATGTGGAAGATCGGACTCTTGCTTGAACCTTGGAAGGGCCCTGTAGTTGAAAGGCCTTGGATTTCTCCACTGAAGCTAGCAGGACTAATGACAACAGACTCCAAACTCCTCCGCCTGTGAAACGAACGACACTTTTTCGAGGCCGTCGCTTTGGGTATCTTATTGTCGGATTGTGCATGGTGCTGAAGCTTGAAGGTTGAATAGAAGACTGAGTGTATTCTACGGTCATACCAGGTACTGAGTGATCGAGATGGAATCCAAAGGGGCGTTTATACAATGTGCAGTATATGGTCTGATCGAGAAAAAAAGATTATGTCATCGTCGCCCATCTGCGTCCCTCAGAAAATTAGCGTCTTGTATTTTCAGCTCATGCATGACATCGACGATCGGAGTTGTCAAAATGCTTACGTAGAATTCTACGTTGGCTAAGAATTTCGAAACTAGTCGAACGAAGTGTCCGTGTTTGACCCCACGGAAAGCTTCCGAACACCTGAACCATAATATCATTGCTCGAGATAATAATCTTACTGTATGATATATTGAAATCAGTCATCTTCTCCTCCATATTGAATATTCTTCTACTGTTCTACTGTTCTATCAACTATCAACTATCGACTATCAAATACTCGTACCGCATGTCCAAGTCACCTCTCGCACCGCTTGCTCCGGTGTTTCAAGCCTTGAATTGGGTTGCCTTTGGAGGATGGTCCTACGTATTTCTTCAGCTTTTCAAGGGATGTGATGCACAAGACATGGACCCTTACGTCAAGTATTTGGAAGGCATTTGCCTTGTGGAGGTCCTTCGAATCATGGTGGGTGATCTCAAGGGCAATCTAAAATTAGGTTTGTTTCTGCATGCCATTCGTCTCGGTTCACTCTTTGCTGTCATTCCAAGACTACCCGAAGGTCACTGGACGCAAGATTACATTTATTTTGCCTATTCGGTTGCCGAAGTGACACGGTATCCCATGTATTTGTTTCCATCGTCGAATTTCATCCGGCAAATTCGCATGGTGGCGCCATTATTCACCTTTCCTGTGGGATGTTATACAGAAGGACTTGCGGCATATATTGTACTCTTGCAAGAAAAGGAGGAAGGGGCTGAGAAGCATCCCGTATGGCTGGTGATTGTCCTTGCGTTCATCTTGTTTGTGAATGGAGTATTGGGACCAACACAAGCAATGCCAGCACTAATCCAAAAGGGGTTCTTTGCTCTTGGCATTTCTAAACCACCACCACCAAAACAAAAGGAGGTGAAGAGAATTTAGATACATACTGGAGGACAAGGACTATTATACGGTACTGCAGGGTTTCGAATTTATTCATACATGATAATAAAATACACATTACAAACGAAACGAAAACACATGCGAGAGCAAATGTATCCATCAGCACAAAGGGATGATGACTTATTATTAGAAGTATTTACAACAATGCATTGCGTGTATCCTCCAACTTCTTCATAATCTCTCCAACAGTTCGATCGAGTTTCTCGGCAATTTCTGTTTGCTTTTCGTGGGACAGAGCATTGAATGCGCTGCATAAGTCACCATCCACAACATGCATGACAGGGGCATAGTACGATCGGTATCCCTGAGGATCGCGTCCAGTGGGACGAGGAGCTTCCACTCGCAAGTATCCTTCCAATTGGGTGTAAAAGTCAACATCGTCTCTGGATGTAAATGGTACCAAGGCTCCAATGCGACCAGTGACAGTCACATAGATCAACGAATCGGCTCCACCAGCCACCAACGACGATCGTGTCATATTGGTTACAATTTCACCCACGTAGTACTGGCAGAGAACTTCCAACTTGGGAGTGGAACTGTCGCGAGAAGCATCCCACAAGGCTCGCTGACCAGTCAAATCCAAAGTGGCCGTATCAGCACCCCGGGGAAGTCGGAGGATGCAAATGTTGCCAAACTTGTCTCCTGCTGCCACAGTATTCCAATCCAATAGTTCTTGAGACACAATGGGCCTTGGACTTGGATCACTGGCAATCAGGACGAGTCGATTGACACTGGCTTCGTAACGAATCATATGGATCGATCGCATCATGTCACCAAAGTAGGCACGATCACCTGCGGTTTGCAAGGTCTTGACAAAGGTAGGCAATCCTCGCAATTCGCACTTTCGAAGCAGTTGGCGCTTTCCCATTTCGTACAGTCTCAAGTTCTTGCCAATTCCGACAAGAAGTCGACCTTGAAAGTGAGCCAATGACATGACCGGCCCATCGTCAATGGTGGTTCGGTGAAGCAATTGGAGTCGATCACCATTCACAACTCGGTAAAGAATGACATGACTGGAAGTTTGCTTCAAAGGATGCATAGTCATGCCCGTGACAGTGCCCACGGCGAGTAAAGATTCTCCACCGCGAGTGTGAAAGCGGACCGAAGTACAACAGAGGGCTGCCTCGTTCCGGTTTAACTCGATGCATTCCAGCGTTCGGCAGGAATCCGATGGATCCAGCAGGCGGATGCACGATCCCCAGTGACCAGGTTCTGGTGGAATTGGTCCTCGGATAGGCGTGGCTCGAGCCTCTTTTTCTTCTTCGTCTTCGGGTTCTTCGTCAGACTCTTCTTCCTTCTTGGCCGCTGCATCTTCATCGTCACTGTCGACTTCCATTTCATCGTCATCTCCCTTCTTGTCGCCATTCTTCTTTGCAGCTTCTCCCCCAGTGGCATCAAATCCCATTGAATCCTTTGCTTCTTGGCCAAGATCATTGTAGTCTGATTCCACAACAGCAAGAACGACCTTTCGCTGCGCTGGGTCAGCCGACGATGCCGATAAAAGGGTCATTTGACGAGGAGTGTACCGCAGAGGTACTTTGTTGGTATTGAAGGCTTCGTCGTCTCCGCCTTCCATGCCACCTGTATCGACACTGATGATTCTCAAAGTCTTTCCAGCAGTTGCGACAACACCTTCCTTGACCGCTTGCGACGAGAAGACACACCCATGATCCAACGGAGCATAACTAAGTGGAGCCATGATGTGCTTTCCAGAGGCTTGGTCCAGTCGACTAATCCATGGCCGACTTGACAGCAGCAACATGGAGGAGCGACCTTCCAAAGGAATCCGAGACACGGATACTGGGCGAGCACCCAAGAATCGACGAGTGGGACTGCTGCCAATTTCACCGGTAACAGGGTCCACCGTTGCCCTAAGACTAGACCCATCGTCAAGTCCAATCATCACAATAATGTCGCCTCTTTCATTGTCAGGATATTGCAGTTTGACACTGTGCGGTCTTGACTTGAGAGCAGTACTGGATTTTTGGGTCAAGAACTTTCCGGGTTCCAAACTGACAATCTTCACTGTTTGATCTCGGCATCCAACCGCGGCAAACAGACTTCGCGACTTCCCCTTTGGAACCGTTCCCACATCCAAGCAGCAGACATCAGCCCCCATGTCTCTTGTCACCATTTCGTTCAGATCACCAGTCAAGTTGTCCAATTCAAAGTAAATGACTTCTCCGCCAGCAAGAGCTAGCAATGCTTGGCAGACATTAGATGATGCGGACTCGACACGCTTGAGACCAGGACATTCCCAGTTTCGCAGTTGTCCTGCCTTGATCTGCCGCAATCCATCGGGATAAATCTGACAGAGTCCTCCATTGCCTTTCAGGGTGGAACATGCCAAGGTTGGAGCATCAGTCTTGAATCTTGATTCTTGGCCCACTTCCTCGACTGTATCACCAACACTCAAAACGAGGGTGGCATCCGCAAAACTGACCACAATGTATTTCGATAGCCCCACGTTTTCGTCGGTTTCGTCATGAGCAATCGTGAAAATACCGCCTGGAATACCTGGTAATTCCGAAACCGCCAACTCTGTCACACTTGCACCATGTCTCAGAATACGAAGACTAGCAGTCGGTCCCTTTCCGGCCAGTGTATAAATCTGCGGTGAAACTTCATTTCCAGCTAATTCTCCCACCAAGACCCCGGTCGTAGGAGTTGGACTGTCCAAAGTGTAAACCTTGCGCAGGTTCTTGAGGGTGGTTGGGACAAACGTCTTGGCGGATGCCACTGCCATTTTAGTATTCCAGTCAGCAATATTGGTCGCAGTAATCTGAGAAGACGCATTGGTAGGAGCATCTGGAAGTTCAATTCGTTCAAACTGATAAAGGCCATGCTCGCCAAATTCGGAAGCCACAAAGAGCATTCCCTTTTTGGAAATGTTCAAAGCATTGGCCGCTGGTAGGGTATCAAGCAGTGCAAGTTGCATACCAGTCACCACCTTGTCTTCAGAAACGTCCACACTGAGCTTGTAGACATCCCCAACTTCGGATTGCGCGAGGCAAAAGAATTTGGATTTCTTTTGTCGATGAACCGTGAGCTTTGTGACCAGAATGCCACGACTCTTGGAATCCAATGCTCGACGAGGAATTCCGCAAATCATGACCTTGTTCTTGAGATCGGGATGATGGTAAGAGATACCGTCTTCCATGCCAATAATGACTCCACCGGGGCCATCTTGGCCACCTGGTAAAGAAGCAACACAGCAGGCAGTGGGATGTACATTGGTTGCCCACTTTCGGCTGACATGGTTCAGTCCTAGATCAAGTTCGTAGTATGCCAGTTGCTTGTTCTCGTTTGGCGTATCTGCATCTTCTTCTGGGTATTGAATTTCAATACAAGCAAAGACAGGATTCTCGTATCCATTGTCCACTCCACACGTATCGTAGGTAATGTTTCTGGCTCGATGGGCTTCCAAGGGAGAAGCAATATTGGTCTTTCCTGTAGCATGATTAAGAACGTAGACCAATTTTCTCTTTTCCACTGCCGACACCATGACCGCACGGCCCTTTGGGTCGGCGCAAAGGTACTGACCGGGTGTTGATCTTCTGCATCCTGTTTTGCCAAAAATGACAACATTTGTCTTGGCTGTTTGTGTAAAGTCAACAATACTGAGAGATCCAGCATCGCAGGTTACCGCCACAAGATCACGCTTTTCTCCCGTCAGCCGGACATTGACCAAACCTCTCAAAATGGAATGCGTTTCCAGTCGTTGAATTAGTTTCAGGGATACCGAACCATCTTCAGCGGCATGGATTTCGTGGAGTTCCAAGACTCCAGAAGACTTGGCTAGGACTACTTCTTGGGCCTTTTCTTTTGTGTATTCTCCAATGCACGACGCCAAAATGGCCGAAGATGGTTTCAGACGCATATCCAATAGCTTCATCGCCACTGCGGACACTGGAACCGCATCCTCTTTCTTTTCTTCTTCAGCACCATTCGATGTAGCTGCTGACGGCATCATGGAATCTGAGGAAGGAGCACCACTCATTTTGTATATCTTCGCTGCGTCTCGTGATGTGTGTGATTGGAATGATTAATTGAGTTGATGGATCGGCACAGCAGCTGTCGGAGGATGCTGTCAGCAATCTATCTCTTTGAATGGCTGAAGTATTGGGTTTTGTTCTGAAATGAGGTTAGGCTGGGTTCAGATTGTAGATTGACTGAATCAGCAGCGAGGAAAGAGGGGCAAGGAGGCTTTCGAACGCAAGTATTAGTCCTTCTCTTCGTCCTCCAGTATAGCTGTTGTAATCAGGCTCTCTCGCCTCTCGTGTTGAGTGTGATTGTGATGAATCTGAGTGTCTGGCCGCAGTGCGTTAAGGTACGATGAGCAAAAATCCAAAATGACAGATTTTCAGAGATTATCGGTGATGCGAGATGCTCATCCTTCATGATACAGTAGGACAATCGCTCTCCGCAGAGAAAAGCTTCTACTTTTGCTTCTATATTGTCTTATGCGCCGTAGGAAATACAAAATGCCTGATCAAAACCCTGGAAGGTCCTCCTCAAAGTCAAATATCGGCACAACAACCTGTTGAACAAGTGAAGTGCAGATCCCTCCAAATGCACCTTCTACAGTCTTCTTCTGATCCCTTTCGCTGATATAATTTGCTGATACCGCATCAAGAAAATTGCTTCACATTGTCATTATCTGCCCTGTCCCTACGAAGTGATCTGGCCTCATTGCTTTCTTTGGTCCCCAAAATGACCGCTGCGTGTCCTTTGGGGTCGACAGAAGGCCACACATACAGAGACGATCGAGCCCCGAAGTATATATATTGTACTTTATTGGTATTTCATACAACAGTGGAGCTTTGTGGGTTCACTTTGTTTGGTTGATTTGCGAAAGATTTTGCGATTTCCTTCTGGGGCGCCGTTGCGTCTTCGTCATCATAGGTCCTTATATTATACCTGCCATGGAGGCCGAAACTTATATAACAATGCACCATTTTCTTCTATGGTTCCCAACGGATAAGTACCGGTAGTATCCGACCTGCCGATAGATCCGACCTGCCTCAAGCGTGCGGTGGGGTAGATATGGGGTCAGAGCTGATGTAAGTTTGCTCCAAACACAGTGCTGTCCAAGTTCTGGGCCTAATTTCTTCAAACTACTTTTTTCTAACACATGTTTATTCTCTATGGTTACAGATGACAAGGCTGGGTGGTTTAGAGCGGAATGGAAATCTTCAAGTCAACGGCGCTCTCTTGACTTTGATCGTCCATTCAGCATTTTTTGAAGAATCGGCCAAGAGTCGACATTGGGTGTTGCTTTGGAATGCTACAGCGAAAATGAACTTTGGTATCGGTTTGCCATTGACCTCTTGTTTTTCAACGGGAACAGGAGACTTGATGGAATTTCCTTGAACTTGACATATTTTAGGCCAAAGTTCGCAGTATACAGTAGGTAGGCCTCTGAAATATATAGCAACAACACACCTGACATGTTGGAATGGTTGGTTTAATTTCCCTGGATTTCTCTATTCTAACGAACATTTGTTGTCTATAGGTACTTATAAGAAGGATGGGTGGGCGGAATGGGGGCTTTCAAGGTAGATGTGTGTCAACGGCGCTCACTTGACTCGAGTGGACAACTGAGCTTATACTCTAGCTAGAATAGGCCAAGAATCTGTCCCAGTCGCCATAGAGCTACCCAGGCACGGTAAGACCCTTACCAAAGTTTCCAATTACATGCATGTGTTGCTGTGGAATGATACGGTTGAAATGAACCTTGGGTTGCGCTTTCTCATTGATCTCTTATTTTGAAGGGCAACCGGCGATGGGAACTCGATGGGATTTCCTTGAATTTGATTTATTCTCGACCAAAGTTCGCAGTTCAACATATACCCACGTCTAAAATGGGTGAATATGTCATTTAGTGCTTGTTCAAGTAATAACATTTGTAATCAGAACAAGGTCGTACCGTACAAGGATCAGGCTCTAACCACTTTGGGCAAATGTCAAATGTGAAAATGTGAGAATTAGTGTCGTCCGTCCGGTACCCGTCAAGCAATTTTCACTCTATTATTTTTTATGATGCGATGAAAACGTTTCTTGTTCATGAAATGGTGTGCAGTTGGAGCCCAGATTGCTGTGTAAACTGGACGAAAGCTGGATTGGTGCTCACAATGTTTCACTTAAGAACGACCCTGTAGTAATGAGGATTGAAGATTTGCTTTCTCTGAGCACCAACAGGACAACTTTTCCTATCATTGCTGTGTAAACTGGACGAAAGCTGGATTGGTGCTCACAATGTTTCACTTAAGAACGACCCTGTAGTAATGAGGATTGAAGATTTGCTTTCTCTGAGCACCGACAGGACAACTTTTCCTATCATTGCATCCTTGTCCTTTCACTTCTGCGCGTCCCATTGAGCCCTGATGGAACTACAAGACGTATCTCAGGCCGCAAATATTCTTTGGACGATGATGAATCATCTAATTCACGGGGATGATGTCCAATGGTCTTGAAATGCGCCCAAATGGAATCTGTTGCTTTCAGAAAGCAGACTTTGATTATGATGAGTTGGCAGATATGGTACCTCACCGTCGTTTTACTAGTACTGGCTGCAGGATGGAGTTATTTCTTCTGATAAAACTTCCATCGAGGCCTTGGTCTTCCATCGATTCGCTCTTTCCTCGAACGGATAGACATTCTATCCTCGAGATTTCAAATGCATTGTGCCTGCAAAGACGATAAAAGTCCACTTATCTCGGATGAATGACGCCACTGAGACCGCTGCTGTTGGACAGAATAAAAGCCTACCCTAATGTGCACATGGCTAACGGCTGGATTGTCTTCACCTGTCATATGGAAAGGGGAAGTTTATAAAACTGATTTCTCTTCAAGGACGCTGTCGGTGAAGAGAGGATGAGGCATCAGCTAGGTCCTTCAATGTGTGAAGGGGATGTGAAGGGGGTATGAAAATGTTATCTGCAACATCTATAACACTGTGAATTGGATGCGCCCTCTAGAAGAGCACTCTTTTCTAAAAACGACGCGCTCCGTGAAGACAGACTGAGACGTCGACCCTTGCCTCTCCCTTTCAATTGCTGTTCAGAGCCGAGTTCGATGGGTCCTCTTCCACTCCACCCGCCATATTCACTCTTGCGAAGTCTACGCTTCCTTTCATCCTCATCATCTGACAATAAAAAGGAGAACTTTATAAAACTGATTACTATTGCGAAGAAAAGGATGCTGTCCGTGAAGACAAACTGAGAGGTTGAGCATTGTCTCTCCCTTTCATTACTGATTTTCGCAATATGCTGGGGGCCGAGTTCGATGGGTCCTCTTCCATTTCACCCGCCATATTAACTCTTTTGGGTTTGCGTTTGCGGAATATTCTACGCTTCCCCCTCTCCTCTTCGTCTGCCTCAAATTCGACTATGGGTTTATCATCAAAGCCTTTCGGACGGCTTGGACTCCTTTCGCGCTTTGGTTCAGAACCGATCCAATAGGCAACCATGTGTCCTTTTCCTTTCACGGCTACCTTACCACGACGTCGCATTGGAAAATCGGGCGCCTGCTCTTTCAAGATTCGAGCCGAGGCCTCACTGCATTGGATCCGATCGCTAGTTGAGAGACTCTCCATTCGAGATGCTGTATTCATGGTATCTCCAAACAGAGCGTATCGAGGATTCAGCGACCCAATCACATTACTGACAACTGGACCCGAATGGAAACCTACTCGAATGTGTATACACCCTGCAGATGGATCGTCAACGTCAATCAGGACGTTGTTGGCTGCCGCAACTGCGTCAATGGCGAACTCAGCGATGCGCTTCGCATGGGTAGAGTTTTGGTTCTCTTCCACTTTACAATACAGAGGGAAACGATGAGGTCAGTACAACCTGCAGGATCATTTTCGAATAAGACATGCCACCAGGATATGGACTCACAGTTTGTCACTCCAACCCAGGCATCACCAATGGTCTCGACTTTGAATACTTCGTGCTTATTTGCCAAAGCATCAAATGCAAGATACAAACGATCCAACATATCGCAAACTTTGACTGCTGCAAGTGAACGTGAAATATCGGTGAATCGAACAATGTCGCTGAAAAAGACTGTCACATTGTTGTGGGTCTCCCTGTTTTATCGCAGAATAGAATACGTCAGCGATGAGAACGAGCATCGTCAAGAACCATTGTTCTGGCCATCGATTCAACTTACGGCTCCACCTTCTGGCCGAGTTTGAGCTGGTCAGCGACCTTCTTTGGGAACACCTGATACAACATATCACCAGCAGCTACTTCTGTTCGGAGACGAGTGTTATTTTGATCGATCAATGGTTCCGCATCGTGGGAGCTCATGTCGGCGAAGATCATGTCCAGATCTTTGGACTCTGGACGGAATCGAGTGTTACTACTCCAACATTTCTTCATGATCTCCGTCATCCGCTTGGGGCATGTATCTGGGACTTGCGGTCGATAGTTGATTCGAGGATCGCAAACCTTGTGTAAGACTTTTCGTGGGTTTTGACCTTCATATGGGATCTTGCGACTGTAGATCTCGTAGATGATCATACCGAAGGCGTAGATATCACATGAAGGTGTGTATTCCGTCTTGCCTAGAATGTATTCCGGAGCCATCCTGCAATCAGAAGCAAACAAAGACAATTTTTGTGAGAATAAAGAACTGGGCACAATGTGAGCATTCTTGGAACAGAGAATACATACCAGAACGGCGTGCCAGAGAGACTTTTTTTATTCTTTGTGGACAAGCCAAAGTCTGCAACCTTAGCACGGAACCGAGAGTCGATGAGGATATTCTTAGCCTTCAAATCGCGATGCAATATTGGAGGCTTGGATGCGTGCAGAAAGCGAAGACCTTGGGCAACGTCTCTAACGATTTGCATGATGATCTCGCCTCCAGTATACAATGTCTCATTTCGCAAGAGATCGTAGCTGTGCGGCAAAGAGGAGAACGATGTAAATCAACAAATGAATACGAATGTGTGAATGGTTCAAATTCAATTCAATTCAATTGCGTCGATACTTACAGCGATCCATTTTCCATGCATTCCATTACCATCATGGGGGAGTCGCCAGCCATGACGGCACCCATCACTGTTGTAATACCTACAAACGGACAGAGCAATATAAGTCAGAAGAGAAACTGGAAACGCAAAATCAGCTTTCAGTGGACTCACAAGGATGACGGAGTCTCGATAGCAAACGCATCTCCGCTTTGAACTCTTGCTGTCGTTGGTATGTCTCGTCACATCTGAAAAACAATCTAGAACGCAGAGACTTGTGGGTTGTGGATCCCCCGGATGCATTGCCTAGTATGGTCAGTTTGGATCGACTCATTGAATCCTGGAATGGTAACCACTTTGAAAGTCGCGACTTCTTTCGATCAAATGGCATAGCTAATAAGTCTGATAGATTTGAGTCACTTAGTGCCGATTCTCGACTGTCGCTCATTGTAGTAGTCTTTGGACTATCTGCTCCAGTTTCCACATCGCCTGGGCCATCCTGAGAAACAATTGAACCAGAAACCACGCTACCAGCTACGCTTGGCAGAGAGCCAGCTCGGGTCCTCGCGACGTCTTGTTGAGGGATAACACGCTTGATGGCCACTCGGGTTCCTCGATATTCTGCAGCAATCACGACACCAAATGCGCCCTGACCAATTACTTCGACAGGATGACTAAAGTCCAACTCTTCTGGATTGACGTGCCATACCTCGTCGCTCTTCTTTCTTCGGTATCCGAGGTAGCAATAGACGATTAAGAAGCCAATAAGTCCTCCAATGGCTGCCATGATGGCAGTAAATGTACCAAGGGGCACGCATTCTTCTCCAATCATAATGGTGCTATCTGAACACTCACAGACACCAAGATCACTCTACGATGGAAAGAAATAAGAATGGTTAGTGATTCAGCATGCACGATGGATTTGGACAGAATGAATGGTGCTTACCGGAATCATACGCTGTCCAGGGAAATCAGTGTTGCAGTCTCTGCTGGTGATCTCCACCCGAATGGGAGAATCCGGAATTTGAACTTCATCCACAAAGATCTCCAAGATGGCCACTCCTCTTTCATTGTGACTGAGCCCAAACTCGTACGAGTATGAATCCGTTTCGATCACAGACAAGAACCGTTCCTCTTGGCCAATATGCATCAGAGCTGTGACGGTAGCATTGTTCCGCTTTCTGTTGTCTTGTGCTTTGAATCTTATCTCTTTTGTCTGTGGTACAGCTCCGCAGAGATTCATTTTCCGACCTATACCAGAAATCATTGAATGTCAGTACTGCGTGGCGTAGCCTTATGATGATGTCCATATTGCTCATGCCATGCTGCTCATGGGGACGAAGGGCGAACTTACAACCAGATTGATGAGTGATCTTCATTGAGGTATGCTCGCCATCGACCACCCAGGGGTACACGCTGACTTCATGAGCATCGTTGGAAGTACACACTCCATCGATCTCCACTGTACCTGAAGGGCAAACACATTCGCCGAGAGCATCCTGTGATGAGTGTCAAAAAGAATGTCGAACCATGAGCCCACTTTTGTCCATACGACATGATCTCCGTTAGTTCTATTGAAGTGGATACAAAAACATACCGGAATCCTGTTTTCGCCAGGGTATGCAGCTTCACAATCACGATCGACGACCTGTACCTGAATAGGGGACTCTGGAATCTGCTCCTCATCGACAAAGATCTCCAGAATGCTAACACCAGTATTCGGTTGAGAAAATTCGAATTCATAGAGGAAGGGCTCGACTTCGCGTGTCAAAATATGTGTTTCCAAATCGCCCACATGGCTTTTGACTGCCATCGTTGCATTTGTACGTCGAAGATTGTCAAAGGCCCGAAAGACTGCAGTTTTTCTTTGTTGGACGACCCCACAGAGACTTCAGAGTGAAACAGTTGATGAGAAAAAGATGACCGAAAACAACGATGTTGACCATTTGATATAAATTGCTCACCTCATTTTATAGCATCCAGATTCTTGACTGAAATTAGATGATTCATCTTCGCTCTTCCACGGAAATACGTTAACATCGAACGCCTGGATGCATGGTTGGCAGTAGCATGAGTATCCATCCTGACAAGAGAGCCCTTTGGCTTGGCACTGTGTATCGAAGATGTCTTCCGAGACCTTATAATATCCGTCGGGACAAATGATACCATTGTAATACTTGGAGTTGCGTTCGCAACGCGAGTTCCCTGTTATGGATATGTGAGGTTTCGTAAGATTGGACGGGATGGTTTGGTGAGAAACTGGACCAGATACTCATCTCGAGGAGCACCAATAGCAACCAAAGCACTACCCATCACATACCTTTAGCGTCCTGAATGATGAAGCCACCGTCTTGTTGCATCGTTCGGACATGGAAGTGAGACCTCGGCGAGTGGAACCCGCCATGAAACCCTGCCAACCCTGCATTGTATGCCAGAGTGGCAAGTTCTCTCGAGGTATCACATCTTGCATTTGGGTCGAAATACTCTGGTGGTGAAGTATCGCAAATGTTTCTTTCCGCTTGTGTTGTTGCTGCTTCTTGACACTCGACAATCAGTTGGCCAATAGTTGCATGTTTATTGAGAGCCATCAGTGCATCACCGACTTCTTCTGCAACGATATGGTCCACGGTATCCTTGGCAGCAAATGGCCACTCGGGAAAAACGGGTGTCGAATGCAGAAATGGAAAGAGCTCGCCACCATCCATGATATGGATTCTCGGAGCAATCACCTTTACAAGACTTGGATCGACCAATTGGCCAGTGGATGGATCCATGGTTCGCTCCACTTGCCCGGTTCGAACAAATCCAACGTCCCATCTTCCGTCAAGAATACCTTGTATCGTATCTTCGTTGTTACCTGAAGGGTGATGGTATGGGTTTTGATTTCTTTAGCGTTGGTATTTGGATTTAGAGTTTGCATATTGCATCATCTCTTCTTACCTGTGAATATGACCTGTTTGGCATCAATCAGGGGATTGATTCCTTCTTTCTGCATCATGTAGAACTGTGCCTGTGCTCCGGCAAAGTCAGAAAAGGCTTGCGCCCCAATCACTTTGCCCTTCAGATCTTCAATACTGCCAATGTCATCGTTGTCAGCCAGGACCATCATTGTACCCGCGAAGATATCGAGCTCGTAGTTCCGTCCTCGAGACTCCAACCTGGCAACAGTGGTCGCAATCGGTTTCGCCCCAATCTCGACACCAATACATGAGTAGATGCCGGTGTCCGTGTACATGAAATCGACGTCTTCTTTATTGTCAAGCCAGTCTCGAATGGAATCGTCCGTGATTTTCATCTTGAACTCGATTGGAGGATCCCACCTCTTTCCCACAGCTTCATTCAAGTATTCTTCAAAAGTAAGGTTGAACTCTCGTTTGGCAGTTTCAATACCCGCAGAGGCATGAACACCGACATGGTATATTTTCTTTTGTGTAATCGGGTTGTACTGACGAAAGCCTTGCAAACAATTGAGTTCTCCTTCCGGCCACAACTCGCTAATATTTTCGTTCTGTGATGACACGAAGAGAATGTGTGATACAAGAAGGAAGAGTACGCGTTGTAACTTCGTCACGGTTGTAATCTGGTTCATGTTTGAAAAGATGAGAAACCAACAAAAACGTTTTGTCAAGGAGTCTTTGCGGTTCTGTTTGTTACGATCGATTGAAGGAGGAAAATATCTGACGGTTCCACACTGTGTTTTTTTCTACCGGTACATGAACGCGCGAGGAATTGCGAAGACTGTTCGCTTTCCGTCAATAAGGAATGCGTGACAACGAATATAAGCGCTGTCTATAAAAAAAGGATGACGTTTTTAAAAGAGCCCAAGAGCAAATCTCGACGAACAGACATTTATTCGTGTTGATTCAGTCTACCGAATGGCCGGCCCAGTCAGTCTACCGACTGGGCCATTCTCATGCAATTCTCCAAGCCAGCATGTTCCATTTTTATGTTCTCCAGAATCTTCATCTTGAGTGGTTTCGTTATTTAGAGTAGCATGGAGAGAAGCAAACTTGGGCTCTATTGACCAGAAGGAAGACTCACTCACATTGGCCTACAACGTTCCCTTCCCAGAAGCAGCTCAGAATCCGTTTTTACCATCGCCATTGCAGATGTCTCAAGTGCTGATCCTTCTGAGGTCCTTCTGAGGTTGATATGGCCTCTTCAGTTGCCTCATCCAACACACTTTGTGACACACTTGCTGATGAATTTGAAATCAAGCACTGAAAAGTGCTGAAAGTGAATGGAACCACATGGTAGAATTGCTGTCCAACTGGGATATAGACAAAGTAGGCAACCTAACCCAACATCGGTCCCGGAAGAAGCACAGGGACCTACAATGACAATTATAATTTCTCTGTAGAAGCTAATGAAGATGGAAACTACAGACTTTTCGGCAAGGCTGATATATGACATTTCTGAAGATTTTATAAAACAGCCGCGCCAGTCGGGCAGCATTCGGCAAATTTGAAAATGGGACACCAGGATAAATAATCCGGCCATTCGGCAGACTATCACTCTCTAGCCATCGTCTATGGTTCGTCCGTTACGTCTGTCTGTCGCACGTGAACGAGCGAAGGACTGAATCAATCACATCTCCGTTGCTGTCTCTTCATACCGGTATACCGGTAGGTACAGTAGACTGTTTCTGTTGGGCCACTCCAGACAGGAATAGCATGCTTTGGCGCCTTTAGACTGAATGCTTTCGCGCTCACTGAGGATTCGATTTGAATTTGAATACGAATAGAGCGCCCAAAAAAGCATCGAAAATGACACGACAGCCAACATGATGGCAAAATGTATTGAAACCAAATACCCACAAATCGAACGATTGGGCTTGAGAAACGATGCAACTCAACTATGATCTAGAAGCTGGTATGTCTGTCATCACCAAAAGCAATATGTCCCAGTATCTTAGGCGATTTGGGGAGCAAGCTTTGCAGCAGTGGAAGACGGTTTCAATTGTCTCCGTGTCATTGAACCTTGAACGATTTTTTAGACAAGCGAACCTCTTCTTCAAGATACCAAACGAACATTCCACATCTTTCCTAAGACTTTCAAGCCATTTGGATCAGCGATATTCCGCGGAACCTGCAATTTGTGAGTTGTACGCACGGATCAACTCTGCCTGGCCATTCAAGGTATCCAGGAAAACCAAGCAGAGTGTAAAAGGCTTGAATCCATGCTTGAGTCGGCGATTGAGTCCAGGCTAGAGTGAGTGCTTGAGTCATTACTGGTAGACATTCCACTGCTGGTGTTCATGGAGCTGTCGCTTGACTTCTCGCTTGAACTCATTTCGAAAAATAATGATGAAAATGATTTTAAAGTTGCGCTGGGTTTGGTGGTGGAGGCAATCAGTTTGACTTAGTCAGTTTCAGGTTTCAGTTTTGGTGACTTGACCACTACATGGCCAATTTATCAGTTTCTGATTGGGATTTTCAGCAAACTGTTGTGTGCAAATAATTTTTCTTCAAAACGGAAAGTTCGCGCGCGCCCCGGAAACCAGCCAAAACGTCAGTTTCAGCTAGGTTCGCGTGGAAGTAGCCTTGTTTGCGGGTAAAGTAGCAAAATGGACTTGACCACACTACAAGAAAACAACAGTACTGTATGGGAAATTTCAAAGGGTACCAAGTCCCGTTCGTTTGACACTGACAAAACGTGACCTTTGTCGCCGATGAGCCCGTTGACGTCTCGCTCAGCATCCTGTCCAGCACCAGGCTTCCATTGGGGCCAAGAGGACACTGTCGTCAGCACGTTTGTCGTCACAATATGACGACCATGCCAAGCCTGCCGAGGATGGAGGTATTATACAGCACCTCAGGCCCAGCCATCAAACGCTGGCCATTCACTGACTCTTTCGTCGAACGGATGCATTATATTGTGTGATACGTAGTCCACATATCTCGGATAAATGACGATGGCAACTTCTACAATCGGCAAACATAAAAGCATGATCGAATAGGAACATGCCAACGTATGGATTGCCTTTTTTCAATTAAAAATAAATTGTATACAAAATTTTGAAAATTATTACTATTGCGAAGAAAAGGATGGTCTTCGGTTTTTGTCCCTCCCTTTCATTATTGATTTTCGCAATATGCTGTTGGGAGCTGAATTCGATGGATCCTCTTCCATTGCACCCGCCATATTAACTCTTTTGGGATTGCGTTTGCGGAATATTCTACGCTTCCCCCTCTCCTCTTCATCTGCCTTAAATTCTACCAGGGGTTTCTCGTCAAAACGTTTGGAGCGGCTCAGACTCCGTTCGCGTGTGGGTTCAGAACCTACCCAGTAAGCAACCATGTGACCTTTTCCTTTCACGGCTACCTTGCCGCGGCGTCGCATTGGAAAGTCAGGCGCTTGCTCCTTCAAGATGCGAGCTGAGGCCTCACTGCATTGGATGCGATCACTGGTCGAGAGACTCTCCATTCGAGATGCTGTATTCATGGTATCTCCAAACAGAGCGTATCGAGGATTCAGCGACCCAATGACATTGCTGACAACTGGACCCGAGTGGAAGCCTACTCGAATGTGTATACACCCTGCAGATGGATCGTCAACGTCAATCAGGACATTGTTGGCTGCCGCAACTGCGTCGATGGCAAACTCGGCGATGCGCTTAGCATGGGTAGAGTTTTGGTTCTCTTCCACTTTACAATACAACAGCAAAAGTTTGGGTGAGTACAACCTGCAGGATGATTTTTTTCAAGCAGACAGTAAAAGCAGCATATGGACTCACAGTTTGTCACTCCGACCCAAGCATCACCAATGGTCTCCACTTTGAATACTTCATGCTTGTTCGCCAAAGCATCAAATGCAAGATACAAACGATCCAACATTTCGCAAACTTTGACTGCCGAAAGAGTCCGCGAAATGTCGGTGAATCGGACAATGTCGCTGAAGAAGACTGTCACATTGTTGTGGGTCTCCCTGTTTAATTGAAGAAAGAAAAAGCACAAAGGGTTGAGGATGATGTGTCAAGCCAACCATTCCAAACACGGATTCAACTTACGGTTCAACTTTCTGACCGAGCTTGAGCTGATCAGCGACCTTCTTCGGGAAGACCTGATACAACATATCACCGGCAGCTACTTCTGTTCGCAAACGAGTATTTTCTTGATCGATCAACGGTTCCGCCTCGTGTGATCCCATGTCAGCAAAGATCATATCGAGATCTTTCGAATCTGGACGAACTCGACTGTTGTTGCTCCAACATTTCTTCATGATCTCTGTCATCCGTTTGGGGCAGGTATCTGGGACTTGCGGTCGGTAGTTAATTCGAGGATCGCAAACCTTGCGTAAAACCTTTCTTGGGTTTTGACCTTCGTATGGGATTTTACGACTGTAGATCTCGTAGATGATCATACCAAAGGCGTAGATATCACATGAAGGTGTGTATTCTGTCTTGCCTAGAATGTATTCCGGAGCCATCCTGGAATCAGTCAAAAGAAAATAAACACAGTTGTGATGAGAACCCAAAACGAAGAGCAAACGAGCTATATAATAACGGAGAATTCTTGCATCAGCGAAAACATACCAAAACGGTGTACCGGAGAGACTTTTTTTATTCTTCGTGGACAAGCCAAAGTCTGCAACCTTAGCACGGAACCGAGAGTCGATGAGGATATTCTTTGCCTTCAAATCGCGATGCAAAATTGGAGGCTTGGATGCATGCAGGAACCGAAGACCTTGAGCAACGTCTCTGACGATTTGCATGATGATTTCGCCTCCAGTATAGAGGGTTTCGTTTCGCAAGAGATCATACCTTTACAGCAAATCCAACAAGCACGTGTCAGGATGAATACAAATTTCTGAGTGCGGTTTCGTCGATACTTACAGCGATCCATTTTCCATGCATTCCATTACCATCATGGGGGAGTCGCCGGCCATGACGGCACCCATCACCGTTGTAATACCTACAAACGGAAAGTGCAATGGAAGTCAGAAGAGAATAAATCGCGACGAGCAAAGATCAACTGCACCGTGCACTCACAAGGATGACGGAGCCTAGATAGCAAACGCATCTCCGCTTTAAACTCTTGTTGTCGTTGATATGTCTCATCACACCTATAAAGCAACTTCGAACGCAGAGACTTGGGGGTGGTGGACGCCCCTGATGCATGCCCAAGTATGTGAAGCTTTGATCTAGTTATTGCATCGTGAAATGGCATCCACTTTGAAAATCTTGATTTCTTGCTGACAATTGGCAGCTCCAATAAGTCTGATAGATTTGAGTCACTTAGTGCCGATTCTCGACTATCGCTGGTGGGATGTGTCGCTGGACTGTCTGCTCCGGCTTCCACATCGCTTGGCCCATCTTTCGAATCGTCCTGAGAAACATTTGATCCAGAAACTACACTACCCGCTACGCTTGGCATAGAGCCGGCTCGGGACCTTACAGTATCTTGTCGAGGAATCACACTCTTGATGGCGACTCGCGTTCCTCGATATTCTGCAGCAAGGACAACACCAAATGCGCCCTGACCAATTACTTCGACAGGATGGCTAAAGTCCAACTCTTCTGGATTCACGTGCCATACTTCGTCGCTCTTCCTTCGTCGGTATCCGAGGTAGCAATAGACTATTAAGAAA